AAATTTATTATAAATTAGTACCATTTTGATATTAGTTTAATACCAGTTTAATATTTTTTGGAATCTTATCTAGAGATTATATGATCAAATAGAATAAGACTCCTTAAAGATCTAATTTATTTTAGTACTATTTACAAATAAATCAAGTCTATTTTTAATATTATTTATAGATCAATACTTTTTAATCTTCTAATAAATACTTTAGATTAGACCAGTTGATGTAAGTTACCAAATCTAAGAATATAAATACCAAGCAAGAAGCAATTTCTATATATTTTGTTTTATCATATAATTGTTATATCTTTATACTTTTATCTAATAACTTATGAAAATTTATTACTAAGCTATAAACTCATAGGTTTATAATAAATAAATTTTTAATTAATAATCTTTTTAATTAAATTAAAGAAAATATTTAAATTAAATATAAATCAAATATAAGTTAAATTGAATAAAATTAAATCTGAATTAGATTCAAATTGAATTGAATTAAGCTATACCATATCTGATTCAAATATAAATTATATATCTAAAAAATGAAACAAATCAAATTTAATTAAAATTTAATTTGATTTAATTCATTGTGATTCCTAGTTATTATTATTTTTTATTTGAAAAAAAAAATAATAATAATAATTTTCAAATATTTATTATATAGTATATTGATAATTCTACCAATTGATTTTTGAAAATAATTAAATTTAACTATCCTAGATAAATATTTTATTTTAAATTTGAATATTTAGGTTTCTTTTTTTGATATTATATATACAGTCTGATGCAAAAGTCTTTGAACTGACTTATCAAATTTTAATGTTGCACATCTATGCCAGTTTATATTCAAATTAAGTAAAACTTACAACATGTTCATAATTTGGTCTCACCAATCACCTGTTACAATTTTGCTAACTTTCTATATAAACTTTTTTTTTTGCTATAGAGCAATGTTGACCATCACAGAAAACACACTTATTAAAATTCTATTAAGTTTGTGAAGGCAAGGAATAAGAAAAGCTGTCCAAATACAATGGATTACGAAAATACCCAGGTTAACTATTTTCTATAACCTGGCAAAGTTTTGCAAGGGAATAACCATGGCTCATTGGAAGAGATCAGGTTGTCCAAAAAAAATTAATGCAGATACTTCAAAATCACTCAGTCAGATTGTTAGAAGGAATTCAACAATTTCTTCTAGAAAATTAGTAGGTGAAATGTTTTCCAGAGAGGTAAGTATATCCTATAGTACACTTTTGTAGCATTTAGGCAGCTATGGTTTTCGTAAGCAATTTTCCATTGCAACACCAATGCTGACAAGATTGTAGATACAAAAGTGAATAGAGTAGGCTCAAAACCACATTGACGATGATTGAAGTCACACATTTTTTTCGGATAAGACGTCTGTTTGGCTTATACATGTTACTGAAATTTGTAGATTCTTGATGTAATTGATGCAATTATTTGACGCAATTAATTGAGTCACTATTAAAACATATAAATAATTGAGTCATGATGCAATTATTTTTGAGGATTTTGGGAATTGAGTCAATAACAAAATAATTTACGCCACATGTATAGTTTGGTACTTCTCCAATACTGTACAGTATTGGTTCAAAGACAAACATCTGGTACATCGCATTTCAAAGAACCATTCGAGAGTTAATGCTTGGGAAGAATTTTGCATTGTGGGTAAAACAAATCTTTATTGCTTTCATGAGATAATAACTGGGGAAGTATATGTCAACATCATAGGAAAACATATTTCTCAGGTCAAGAACATGCTAAATGGTCATTGGTGCCTTCAACAGGACAACGATCCAAAGCATACAAGTCAGGTGGCAAAACGTTTCCTTGAAGAAAATGTACCTACCATTATGGACTGGCCATCAAACAGTTCTAATTTAAACCTCATAAAAAATCTATAGACAATTGTCAAGAGGAACATAGAGATTTGATGACCAAACAATACCTGTGAGCTAGAATGATTTATGAAGGAGAAATGGGCAAAAATTTCTCAAGATGTAGTCAATAATTTAGTGGGTTCAATGAGAAAAAAATGTAAGCTTATTATTGAATCAAATGGTGATAGGATTTCGTATTAGATTTTTTTTAATAAAATCATAATAACCTAAACTTTTTATTAAAAAAATTTCACGTGATACGGCGCAGTGGTTGCGTTGCAATTATAAAAAATATCAGTCCAAGGACTTTTGCACCAGACTGTATAATCTTTCTTTTATTTGAATCTCCGAAAAGTGATCTCAAACCTATGTGATTGGCTAGGGTAACACCTGTAAATTAGGCGTTACTATTGGTGCCGACTTACGTCATTTTCTCCCACCTCCTTTTTCCATAATTACATAACGCAATACTGTCATCTTATCCTTACAATATTGAATACTACACGAGTTTCGCTGGGTTATGAAGCGAAAGTATCTAGTAAGTAAACGTTCTTTGTTATTCGACGATTATATAAAATACTCATTTATTTGTCTTTCTATACCAAACAGACATGTCAGAATCCATACATTCTAGGATAACTTCATGAGGTGAGTTAGTGTTAAGTTGTTATATACCCAACGTTTCTATCACGAAAAGGTTACCCACACCTTGCGAAAGACTTGATAGATAGTGGACAGCCTGTCGTGAACGTTCTTTGTTTTCTTTGAAAAGCTATCAGGCATTTATACCGGGCCTGTGATAAATAAGATACATGAAATACCTGCAGGCATCTGTACCAGGTATTCTTGACGATTATGACACAATACTCATTGAGTCACTGGTTGAGTCGTTATGTATCTGTAGAAGAATCAGAGAATGGAAAGCTGTCCGTGGCCACGGCTTGCGAAAGTTGCTAATCAATAAGATTTAGCATGCCGTGAACGCTGATTTTTTCGAAATACTGGGCCTATGACAATAAATATGATACATGAAATATCGGCAGGTATTTGTACCGGGTATTCTTGACGATTATGACACAATACTCATCGAGTCACTGGTTGAGTCGTTATGTATCTGAAATTACGCCGTTAGTAGAAGAATCAGATATGGGAAGCTCTTCGTGGCCACGACATGAACGTTCTTCTCTTCAAAAGCAGACATGAATTTGTACCGGGCCTGTGGTAATAATTATGGTACATAAAATATCGACAGGCATTTGTACCAGGTATTCTTGACGACTATGGCATAATACTTCTAGTTACTTGGACATTTGTGAAGCCGTTATGTATCAGATACCAGGCATTACGCCGAACCCATGATAATAAATAAGATACACGAAATATCGGCAGGCACTTGTACCGGGTAATAATTTGAGGATTGTGACATAATACTCAGAGCTACTTGAATGTTTGTTAAGTCGATATGTATCAGAAGTTACCTTGTTACTAGAATAATCAGAGAAAGATGTTCTCTTTTTTTAAAGAGCAACAAGCATTTATACCGGGATTCTTAACGACTATAACACTATACTCACCTATTTGTCTTTCTATACAAATAGACAGGAGATTGGAATCCGCGCATTTTATGATATACTTAATATAAGCGTCTCCAAAAGGCGCCTAATTGACGTCAGATGGTAATACTAAAAGTACAGCCGCGAACCTTCGAGACTATTCACACATTCGGGGGACACATATTCTAAAGGACATATCGGTTATCCTAATATTGCCGCCTCTTCTCTAAATAACTAAGTTGGCATCGGGCAGTGAAGACTACTACTATGGCTATTGTTTCTCAAAACCTCGATCAGGATTCATTAGTTATAAAATGATATAACGATTATATCTATAGTCTAAAAATAGTACATTTATTATTGTATATACGTACATTAAAAAGATTAATTAAATAAGACAAGTGTCTGTGGTATTATTCGATCATTTTATTTTCATTATATATTTTCATAATGCATTTTATACAGTCTTAACTTGGAAGCGGGAGATTTCCTATCAAAAGATATTTCAATAAAATCATTCGTCTATAGTACACTGGCGATCATAAATAATGCAGCAAAAAAAAAAAAATCGTTAGATCATATTATCTCGCGCAATTCAGAATGGGTTTCTTTTTTTTTTTTTTCTTAAATTCGTAAGTAGTATCACTTTCATAAATAAATTTTTTTAAAAAAATTAATGAACTAAATTTTTCAGGAACACAGACTTTATTTCAATTTATGCACTGCATTATTTTTGCTCATTTTTATGGCAGCACCACGGTAAAATAAAAAAATAATTTTTTTCTATTTAATTTTTTTTCTCTTTTATGAACTAGTATATCCACCCCGAGCTTTGATGACCTCACAGATTCGTTCTGGCATTGAACTAATTAGGTTCATGCAGGTTTCAATATCAATTTGCTCCCAGACTACCTGAATTTTTTCCCAGAGATCTTTTTCACTTGAAATATTGTTAGAAAGTTTTCTAAGGCAACGGTCGACCTCAGCCCATAGATGTTCAATGGGATTGAGATCAGGTGATGAAGAGGGCCAATCAAAAGTTTTTATTCTGTTTCTTTTAAACCAACATTCAGTTAAAATCGCAGTATGACAAGGGACACCATCTTGTTGAAAAATGATGTCTCTGATATCAAACTTATGATTTTTAACAGTTTCTATAAAGTCTTCATAAAGTATCTGCTAGTATAACTTACTATCCATCATACCTAAGGATTCTAATGATTCTTTTCGATTCTGTATTCGATTCTCAAATTTATATTAAATTTAATAGGTGGGGTATACTCCACCATCATTTTTAATAATATTTTGAACCTCATATGATTCATTCGATTCTATTTGATTCCAATTTTCAGAAACATAATCATACTATTGATTTTACAAAAGCCTTTAACATTATAAGAAGTAAAACAACTCCAAATCATAACTGAACCATCTCCATACTTCACTTTTGACTTAATATGAAACTGGTTTAATGGTTCCCTAGGATGCTTCCAATAGTATTGCTTGTCATTAGATTCAAAAATTTGAAATCTTGATTCATCAAATCAAATTACCTTAGACCAGTCTTTAACAGATCAATCTTTATACTTTTTTACAAATTCAAGTCATTTTTTTTGATAACTAGTACTTAAGAAAGGTTTTTTTTTTTTGATTTCTGATATCAAACTATGCTTTCAGAGTATATGACAAATAATAGAAGCTGAAATTTCAAGATTTTCTTTTTCTTTCAGATAAGAAACCACTTGTACTGCAGTAGAGCAATGACGAGAGATAATTAAATTTACAATTTTTCTTTGGATTGATTTATCCAATAAAGGTAAGTGACCAACTTTTTCTAAATCTTCAAGCATGTGATTTTTTAATCACTTTTTTTTAATATGGAAGATAATGGAGGAGCTAATATAATGAGTCCAACCTATTGCTCTTGTTATGTATCTTTTTTGCAGTAAAAGCAATATTTAAGCTTTTTGAATGAAAGTTATATGTTTTTTTTTTTTCGTAACTTGATTATCAAATAATTCTAACATTACACAAAATATAAAAATAACAAAAAAATTTACATTTATATATATTTACATGGTATAGAATAAGTTATTAGACCTTTGTCAAAAATAAGCAAAAATAATGCATCACATGTTTTGTGACACATACATAATTATCTTTATATTGGTAGTATTAATAATAGATAAAATTATATTAGTAAAAAATGATACTATTTAAGAATATAATAAAAAATAAAAAATGATTATGAATTGTGTAAGATAATATAATTTAATGATTTTTTTTTTGTTGTATTATTTATGATCACCAGTGTATGTAAAAAAAATGTATAATCAAATATCATAAGTAATGTTATATTTGATTTTTATAATTATTAAGAATTATTATTGTTAATTTAAATAATTAATATATTCTTATCAAAAAATTGCACAAAATTTTTTTTTATTAAACAATTTTTTTTATGTATGGCAGCTTATAATTTGGCCTAGTAATAATTATTTAATAATTAATTTTAAATTTAATTAATAATTATTTTAATTTTTAATTTATAAACAAAAAATAATTAATATTTATAACAATATATTTATTTTGAAATTTTACATATTATTTATATTATAGTTGAATTTTATTATATTAAATATATTAAAAAATTTTTTTAATTTATATTATAATAATTTTATATTAATTTAGGATTTTAATAATTATAAAAATTTTAATAATATTTGTAGTATGTAACAAATCTTTTTAAAATTTTTTTTAAAAACTTTAATATCTTAATTAATTACAAATTAAAATATAAAAAAAATTTTTTTATTAAAAAATATAAAATTATATTTATTATTAATTAACTTTTAAGTTTATTGTATTTAAATTTATAAAGTTATAGGATTTTATATTTTATTTTTGATATTATTAAAAAAAAAAACTTTGAAATTCAAAAATTCAAATATTCAAATATTTAAAAATTAAAAATTATTAAAAAAATTTTTTTAAAAAGAAAAATCTATATATTAAATTAAAAAAATTTTAAATTTATTGAATTAAAATTTATAAAATTTTTATTTGTAATTGATTTTTAATACTTAAAAAATTTATATTATTGTAAAAAACTCTTTTCCACTCCCCTTTCTGTGCTTGAAAATTTTCTTTTTAGGAAATTTTTGTGTTGTTTACTTTCTTTTCCCCTTCTCTTTATGTTCCCTCCCCATAACTCTTTATTTCCCTTCTCCTATCTTTTTTCCTCTTTTCTATATACTCTTTCTTTTACTTTTACCTCTCCTTTCCCTTTTCCTTTTTTCTTCCTGCCGAAGCTAGGTTTTCCACTTTTCCCTGAAGGTTTTCCTCCCTAGGCCTCTCTCTCTTTTGAAAACTCCATCACTATAACATCACTCCTCTGACCAATTGACTCCTTTTTCTCAAGGACTATATCAAAAAGTGATAATCTTTCTTAGGACATGAGCTTTAGGAATTTTTCTCTCTTCCATGGCTCCTCAGAAAAAAAACGGATGGCTTACCCCCTCCAAAAGATCGACATAATCATCATTACCAAACCCGGCGTTGTTTACTGATCGGTGGTTAGATTAGATATACTCAAGAAACCTCTGTACAACTATTATTATTTGAAAGTACTCAAGGAGTTGCGTTCCACAGTATCCAGAGTGAAATGGTAGCCAATGCCAATGCAACTAACAATAAGCTAGGTTAGTTGCAGATGTTATGCTAGTGATTGGGGAACTTAGTAAAGTAATACGTGACGACCAGGGATTCTAGTTACCCCCGTAACACGAGCTGGTGATGACAATGTAAGTTTCTCGCTCACTCTTCCAACAATATAGATCTATTGTACAAGGTTAGGTTCCAGCACCATTAAGAAAACCAATAAGGACTCCACCCATAGGACATTTCCGCCACACTTGAAGCATGGGTGTGTCAAATCCTTTTTGTGACTTGAAGGCAAACCTGTATAAAGTAACTGCAGCACCTTCATGTAAAAAGGTACTCATCTTCTATCACCTCCAACACCATTCTGCTTGCCATACATCAAGCCATATTTGGAAAGCAGGCATGCCAATCCTAATCATGACTTGAAGGCCAATTTGTATAGATTGGCTGCAGCACTTTTATGTAATTAGATACTTATTTAATTCCAGGTAGCTGGGCGCCATTCATAATTTGATATAGATTTTTGAATTTCTTTTTGTCTATATTTCTTGGATGGTACTAAAAGAGTACAGGGGTCTGGCCCCATATGGGAGCCTTGTGTTAAACTCTTTCTAGCAAAGAGAAACATATGTCATGCTATTGATTATTGTACCTTACCCTATAAGTAAGTGAAAGTATAATAAATATAATAAAGTATGATAGTCATTTGCTCTTTTCAAAAAAAAAAAAAAATTTATATTATTGTAATTTTTAGACTTTAACTTTATTTCAATATATTATTTATTATGGTTTTTGAATAACAAATAAATAAAAAATTTTAAAAAATTTTGTTATACACTATATATTTCTTGTAATTGGCTCTTTAATATCTAATAATAATTAAAAACAATATACAATTTATTATTATTATTATTATCTTTATTAAATAATTTAAGAAATTTAAGCAGAATATAGATATTTTATTATTTTTAATAAGTATTGTCTCTT